TGCCTAGCCCTGAGCCGAGTGCCTGAGCTCGGTACCGCGGGAAGCCGCGGAGCGGCGTGGGGCGCGAGTATTGGAAGCAGCAGCGTTGGGACCCCCGCCTCGGGGAGCCTGGGGTTGGCCGGCCCCGGGGACCCCCGCCTCCTTGGCCGCCCTGCTTGATGGAAACCCAGGCACCCAAGTGCTTGCGAGTTGCTCCCCGGGTTGTTCCCCCTTTCCTGCTCTGCTGAATTCCCTCCCCGCCGGCCCTGGTTTCTGGGGTAGCTCTGGGCATATGCTAATTAGCATAGCTGGCTTCTCCCTGTTTTCCTCTCACAAATGGCTTTTCAATTAGCAGGTTGGTCTCCCCCCACCCGCCCCCCCATGCAAAAGTACTGGCAGGATTTTTCCCTCACCTAAAACGCTTTGAAGATTAGAAGGGCTGATACTATTCCTCAAGCCTCAGTTCAAGCGCACATGCGTGAGTCCACGTGGCACAGCACGTGCAGGGGTCAGGCAGGGGTCTCTAGGCTAGCTAGCCGGGGTCCCCTCTCCTGTCCGGTGTGAGCACATCTTCGAGGCTGAGGACGGAAAAGCCCTGGTGCTCCTGTCCATCTGGGGAGTTGCCTTTGGCATGGAGGACCCCCACCTGGACCCCAGGCTCCTGGAAGGGGGGGAGGGGGGACAGCCAAGACCTGCAGGGGCTTTGCAGTCCGTTGGCAGTCTGACTTGTATTCCTGGACAGCGCTGTGCTCGCAGGGCTAGTCCACCCCAGTCACCGGCACTTCCTACCTGGGCTGCCAGGTGTCTTGGCCCATGAGGCCTTGGGCAGCTCTTGAGCTAGGAAATAAACAAGGGTCTCCGCTGTGGAAAGCCTCAGGTCAACCGCAGGCTCCCTGTGTCCATGTATTGCAGCTCTGTGTTTGGAGCCTGCTTGGGCACTAGGCTTTATCACCAGATCCTACTGATCGTTGCTGCAGGGCAGACTCTGGAGAAGGATTTCCACAGTCTTGTTGGCTCTTGTTTCAATGGGCTCTCTGCAGGTGTGCCTCTTACCCCTGTGGGTAAGAGATGCCCTCCTGGTAGATGCCCTCAAGGGTTATTTAAGAGAGCTCGCCACAAACCAGCCCAGCGAAGATCACTGTGTCCTGAGCTAGCTGTGAATGGCAAAGAGGTTGTGTGGACAGTCCAAGTGGGGACATCTTCAGGCCGGGAAGCAGAGAGCCAGGGACGAGAAGCCTGCTTCCTCTCGAGCTGAGGCTCCGTGCCAGGCAGCTCTGGGCTGCTGGCCATGGTCAGGGTTCCCTGACCATCAAGGATCTGTCAGAGCAGAGGACTGGACTTGCATCTCATCAACACATGTCCTTGGTCTCCCTGTAAAAGTCAGTACGAATTTTGCTCTATTGAGTGTTCCTAGCCGATAAAAGCAACCTACGATCTGAAATGTCCAACTCAGGTGAAACAGAACACTGCTTAAGCAGGAGGGTGTCCACAGCAGGAGGGAGTGCACGGGTTCCCTGCGGCGCCACGTGCCAGTGCGATCGGGGTGTGTTCTCCCTTCAGCGCAGGATGTGTGGATGAGATCAGTGGAATGAGGTCTTGCAGCCTGGAGAGGTGTTTTCTTAAACTTATTTTATTTTGATTTGTAAGTAATATGGACTGAGTCTAAAAAAGAAGAGAAAGATGAAAATGCTTCCTTGCAGGCCTGCGGAGTTAAAATAGTCACAGGGCAGAGGAGAGAGGCTCAGGACCAAGGCCTGCACAGCAGCCCCTGCCACTGGCCAGCTGTCTTCTCCAGGCAAACCAGGATCCTATTGGACACTCACCAACCCAACATGCCGGGCCGAGGTGAGAACTGCCATGCCCCCGGGCTGGCAGATGCAGGAGGAGGATCAGCAGTTTGACCGGCTGACTCCTGGCCCTGACGTGTGGAGGAGATGGCCCAGGTCCTGTGAGTCTGGGCCCCGCCCATCCTTTCCACACTGAGGAGCGGAGCGAGGCTCCAGGGATGCCTGGGAAGATCTGTCTTTGTCAGGGTTGGAAACTTCAGCCTGGAGTTTAGAAGCAGGATGCTGGGTGGAGCTGAAACTGAGGCCCTGGACAGACCTGGACACAGACCTGGACAGTGGCCTTCAGCAAGTGCAGAGGGAGGAGGAGCCCATAGTGGGGTCATGTGAGGGGCCCAGGGCTCCCTAGCAAGGTACTCGGGGTGGATAGACCATCCCAGACAGGTGGAGCTGCACTTTACAAAACAGTATTGTTTTTAGTATTCTTTAAAATTCACTGTCATAGAGTATCTGGCAGAATATAGAAAAGCACAGTGAGCCAAAACCATGCCTTCTCAAGGAAAGTCTGTGTTCATTTTGGTGACCTTACCTGTGCTATATTTTTTGATCCATATCTTTTCAGGTACAATATGCAGGTATGTGAGTATAATGTGAGTATATGCATACATATATAACATCCTATACTTCAGTTTATGTTAAATTTCATTTTCTAATGAAGAGCTTTGATTGGACTTGAGCCCCGTGTCACCTGTAATCACTCAGCCATCAGCAGGAGCGTTCCCCACATCACTGAAGTCCGCAGGGAGTACGTGCGTGTGCACACACACACACACACACACACACACCACTGTGACAGGAGGGAGGAACGAGGCCTCATGGCCGCTAGGAGACCAGATCAGAGCCGTGTAGGGCCCCTGCCTGTGGCCTCCTCCAGGCTGGGCAGGCCTGACCACCGGCCAGCACACCCTCCGAAGGCTCCTCAGTGCTGCCTCCCCAGTCATGACAATTTGAACACATTCCCTTCCCCCTTTCCCAAAGTCTCTAAAAGAACCCCCTGACACTGTCCCTTATCTGCACTGGCATTGGGCTTGGGCTGCAGTCTTCAGCAGGCCTCTGCTTTGGCCTCAGCAGCCTCACACCCGAAATGTCTGTGCCGCCTGAGCCTCCACACCAGGGGCCTCCGGGAACTCCTCACCCACTGGAAACTTGGCCCCCACACCGGCACAGACTTGCTCTGTGGGCTGAATTACACCCTGTCACGGGACTTACTACTCCCGTCACAGCCAGTGGGTACAGCCTTATTTGTGAAAAGGGGGCACCCTGGGGGCTTCTGGCCCTCCGTACCGCTGCATTCCCTGCTAATAGTTCACGCTGAAGCACCGTGGAACATTGCACACGTAAACTTCTGGCCCTCCGCACCGCTGCATTCCCCACTAATAGTTCACGCTGAAGCACTGTGGAACGTTGCACACATAAACTTTAACCATTCATGTCAAAGACAAATGGTACAAAAAGAATACAGCAGCCCTGTGATGGGGTGTATTCTGCTGTTGCAGTGGCATCGCAGAAGAGTCTTGCCTGAACTCATTAGGTTCTTTGTTTTTAAGTAAAAATAACTACAGAGAGAGAGAGTACCCCCAAATGACCAGCACAGACACGGGCAGCACGCAGCTGCCTGGCGGGGCAGATGCGGGGTGGCCTCACCTTTCCTGGGGTCCCCAGGCCTCCTGGACACAGTTTCTTCTCCTGCATCTGGGCAGATCTCATGGCTTCTAGGATGATCTGTTTTGGCCACGCTGCCTGTCCAGCACCTCTTTGAGTTCTTCCACTGCCCAGCACTGCACGGGTCCTGCCCTGGGGCCCAGCCTGGGGACCCTGTGAGGTTTTAGGGATCCCCGTGAGGTTGCTCCCTCTTGTGTTTCCCCTTGGGTTCCTTTTTTCTTTGTGTCAAGGGCAATGCAGAGTGGAAGAGAAGAGAAAATAGATGACAGTGTTTCCATGCACCTGACGGACCTGCCTGTGGGACCGGCTGGCTGTAATGAGTTGGTTCAGAGGAAGAACCTGTGGCTCTGGCCAGAGCTCGGCTCCCTTCAACCCCTGCCACCACTGTGTCCTTCCCCAGGGAGGGGAGGAGGGAGGATGCAGCACCTGGGCCTCCACAGACGTCCCATGCCACCTGCCTCCCCCAGGTCGCCTGGGCTTGCAGGGCTCTGGTGAGGTCTGGCCCCTGCCTCCCGTCCCCTGGTCCCCTGCCCCCGGCCCCTGCCTGCCTCCCGCAGCCTGCCTCCCGCCTCCCGCAAAGCCTCCCTGTATGGACTCTGGTGCTCTCTCCCCTCAAAACCACACAAGCAGAGCAGATGCCTTAGCAGAAGCCCATAAGCCGTCAGAAGCGGGGAACAGCCCTCCTGCTCCCCAGGGGTATCCCTGGGTCTGGGGAGATGTGTGGACTGGGGTCGGCAGAGCTCAGACAGAGTCCTGGCATGCAGGCAGCCCGCGTGTCCCAGACACAGGACGGGTCCTCACCCGGCCTCCTGTGCCCTTCCTGCGCTTGCTCCTGCCCGCAGCTCCTGCTGCTGGGGAGGGGACAGAGTCCTTGATCCTATCAGAAGATGATTACAGGGTGTTTGCAACAGGGAAAGAAGCGGAGGGCAGACGCAGAAGGATCACAGAGGCCGGTGGTTTCTCCACCACGCTCTCAGCGCGCACATATGGTGGCGTGATTGGTGGTCTGTGAGACATGAAATGGTTTGCGTTTTCTCCACAAAACCCTCATACACAGCCAGGAAGCCATAACAATGGTGTTAAGTGAGCCTTTTGCCAGTTAGGAGACAGAAATGTCCCATTTAGACGCAAACATTTATATTCATGCGTAGTTCTATTCCGTTATGCCAAAGTCTGTGTATCTCATACCAAAGGAAGCAACTGTGCTAACCTGGCTCCAGTCTGTCTGACATAATGGCGCTCCCTCCCGACTTCTTCACTGGAGATCTCTCCTCTAGCAACCAGGGCCGGTGGAGGTGCATTCACATTCGGCGTTCACTCTGCCTAACCATGCACAGGAGAAACCACGCGCGCTGGCGTGCAGGGCTGCGGTGGAGAGCGCTAATCACAGACTCGCTAATTGGAAATGATGGCAAAGAAGTGGGTTGGTCTGAACCTTCCAAACCGGGAACCCAGTGGACGCTCAACACAGGTCTCGTTTGGTGCCTGGATAGCAGTTCCCACGTCCCGGCAGGCACAAACCCTCGGCAGTAGCAAACTGGGACACACCTGCTGGTCTCGGCAGGCTGACCAGCCTCCTCTGTACAGAGGTACCCGTTTATCACACAGCACCCTCAAACCAGCAAAGCAGTGGCTCCAACTTAGTTCAATTTGGTGTACGTTCCACATTCTAGGGTCTGAGTTCAGAACCTAGAGTAATGAGGTCCCAGAAGAGGTCTGGACCATTTCTGTTAGTTCAGCTTCTGCCACCAGATGCCTCATCTGCCTGGAATTCTTCAGAGTCCCCATCCCATCTTCACCCCATTAGCCGTCAGCACAGGGCAGCGCCTGCAAGGCCGGCTGGTTCTGCTGTACAATTAACAGCACCCAAGCTCAGCCCACCACATGGGCTGCGTGACTGAGTGCCGAACTCAAAGGAAGGACCAAGCAGCAGTGGCCTTCAGCAGCAAAACCTGCCGAAGGCGGTCATGGCCGGACGTGGCCAGGTTCTCTACGCTGAGCCCTCGGGAGCGTGGTCTGAAATCCAGTCACAACAGGTGCAGCTGGGTAGAGATGGGGCCCTGGTCACTGGATTTGCATCCAGAACTGATGCCATCCAAAATACTTATCCAATCCACTCCCAAAGGGCCAGCCAGCGTCCAACGAGTGCCCAACACCCCAAAGCTGGGCACAAGAGCCTGGGTTTCCAAAGGAAGGAGGCCAAAGGATGTGTCATGGCGCAAGCTGGAGAGGTCGTGTGCTGACTCACCTCCGCCCCTTCCTTCTGGAAGAGTCTGGGTCCCGGCAGCTGCTCCACGCGGCATTCTGATCTCAGAGCACACGCATTCCTGAGAGGCAGCAAGCCTGAATTCTGTGGTCACGATCCTTTAAATCCAGATTCTCTGCCCTTGATAGTAAATTATGTTTCAACAGACAAGAATGAGGAGACTAGATGTGGTCGCTGCACCATCGACTGCTGTAATATTTTTCACTTTGATAAGATAGTCTTAGGATATGAGAAAGAAGCCAATCTCATAGACACTAGTCTGCGTGCTTTCTTCCCTGGGCAGTTAAGTTAAATAATTCTGTGCAAATTCCACCACTTAACCTTTTTTCTGACTCTTCCAACTCTTTAATAAATACACTGAAATATTCTTACCTTGGGACCAACCCCTTGGAACACCTGACTTCTAACCTTTTTCCATGTTCAGAATTAGAGGGTAAGAGTTGTAATGATTTGAGGAGCTAAAGGGTAACATGTGTGTGTGTGTGTGTGTGTGTGTGTATGTGTGTGTTCATGACATCATGGGGTACAGGGGAGTGAATCATCATAGAGACCTGGTCTGTACCCCTGGCCTTCCCCCCAGCCTGTGGGGCAAAGTTGGGTGAGGCTAGCAGAGGCATACCTTCCCTAAGGACTGCCTTAAGTAGGAGCAAATGCCCCGGGGCCCAACCTCCTAGCCCGTCCCGCAGCCTCTTCAGGAGCGCTCCCTTCTGGAGCTCCGCGTCTAGGCCCCAGTGCGCTTGGGCCTGGGCACCTCACCACGTAGAGAGCCGTGTGCATCGGTATTCGTCACAGGGAGCGCACCGGCTCAGGAGCAGCTCTGTGGGTGTCTCGGTGATGGTGGACGAGTCCTGCCACCTCCTCAGGCTCCGTTTGCCAACTGTAAGCAGAGTTGTTATGCAATGAAAACAATACCAGGTCTGTGTTTCCTGGGGGGGCTGAGCCCAAATCGGCTCTCCTGAAAGCTGCCAAGGGCTGCTGGGGAGAGCTTCGTCCTCTGTGGCTTGGGAGGTGTTGGTGCCTCCAGAGGTTCCCGACCCCCACTCGCCTCAACCCGGACTGTCCTGTCCACAAGCCGGGAGGCCACGCATCAGTGAGAGGGCAGGGCAGCCTCCCTGGACTTCAGCGGCAACGTTCACCTTGATACCGCCAGAACACACAGAAAACAGTAGCAGTCATAGCCATTTCAAGGCCCTGCAGAGAGGAGCGCGCAGCAGCCTCGCCCCTGGCCTCTCACAGAGATTTCTTCTCTAGCCTCCAGGCACAGATGAGTGGTCCAGAGCAGAGCGCCACCTGCAACTGGGCTCTCTGGTGAGTGGCCCAGGGCTGACCCCCAGGACAGGAAGAGCCACACATCCCCGACACAGGATGGGGCTCAGACAATATGGCCGGGCTCGCGGGGACCTGCGGCTGCCCTGTGGGGGCAGACCTGGGCAGTGGGGGCCACGACAGATAGACAGATAGACAGGCTGCTTTGGGAAAGAGAAAGGGCGAGAGAGCCTCGAGGCTCTCTGACCTCCAGGCACAGAGCCCAGCAGCCCGGCCTGCGGAGCCGCCCAGGGGCCTGGTAGCACCTCCCAGCAGGGGCAGGCAGCCCTCCTGCTTCCCAGGTGGACGGGCTGAGCCTGGAGCGGGGTCCTCATGTGGGGGAGAGCGTAGCACAGGTGGTGCTGGCAGTGAAGACACAGCACAGAGCGCCAGGGTGGCGGCTGGTCTCCCTCCAAGCCTCCAGGCTAAACACAGACAGCACACACAGGAAGAATGCAGGGCTGCACAGAAGCCCTGCCCTGCGACTCGGGGCCACACATCCTCACGTGCGGCGAGGATGTGGATGCCACGGCCACCAGGGGCTCAGCACCACTCACAGACGCCCCAGGGTCACCCATGGACAGTGAGGCCCTCTTTACAACAAGGGAGGACAGGCCACTGAAGCTGCAGGGTGGGCTGGAACTCCAGTGAGCCAGGTGGGCCTCAGTCCCTGCACAGAGTCACTGTTCAGAGGTGATTGATCCTCATCCAGGAACATGCTCTCCTCATCTGTGGACATCTCCTCATCTGTGGACATCCTCTCCTCATCTGGACATCTTCTCCTCATCTGGACATCTTCTCCTCATCTGGACATCTTCTCCTCATCTGTGGACATCTTCTCCTCATCTGTGTACATCTTCTCCTCATCTGTGTACATCTCCTCATCTGTGGACATCTTCTCCTCATCTGTGGACATCTTCCCCTCATCTGTGGACATCTTCTCCTCATCTGGACATCTTCTCCTCATCTGTGGACATCTTCCCCTCATCTGTGGACATCTTCTCCTCAACTGTGGACAACTTCTCCTCATCTGGACATCTTCTCATCTGTGGGCATCTTCTCCTCATCTGGACATCTTCTCCTCATTTGTGGACAGCCTCTCCACATCCTATCCATGTACACCCATTGGTGGGGTCACAGCCCCGGAACCATTATGAGGCAGGGCTTGTTCAGTTAGGGAGTCCCTGGGGTTGGGCCTTTGCAGGGTGGGTGCTGCCCCCACCCCTTGCCTTGCTGTCTTGCTGCTTCCTGGCCTCCCTGCCTGAGCCAGTCCCCCACCCCCACCTTCCACCACAGCATGCTGCCCAGCCTCAGCCTCTGCAGAGGCCCCAGACCCCAGCACTGAAACCAGAATAAAGCTTTCCTCTTTTGCCCGTGTCTCAGAGATGACTAATGCAGTGTCCATCTGTGCGTCTGCCCCGTCTGTCAACCTGCCCGACCTTCACAGCATGACAAGGCCCTTCTGGGCTTGGAGAAGAAGGTTCTGGGCTATGTCTCAGCCCTCAGAAGTAGATGCCTCTTTACTGAAGTCTGCAGGAGAAAGTTAAACAGGAGGATCGGATCCCAAAAGACAGCTGGTGTTGGAATTATGCAACACTGACTATAAAATCTGTGTGTTTGATATGTTTAAATAACATTTAAATACATTAGTGTACTCTGTTAAGTATTTCAGCCTACTTGAGCTGAGGCTAAAAATGAGAACTCATAATGAAAGTGAAGAAGATTTGTAAAATAACTTAACAAAACTTTAAAAAATTATATTTATTTATTTATTTATTTTTGTCGGTCATGGGGCTTGAACTCTGGGCCTAGGCGCTGTCCCTGAGCTCTTCAACTCAAGGCGAGCACTCTACCACTTGAGCCGCAATGCCACTTCCTAACAAAACTTTTAACAATGCAAAAGCACAGTGTTTGGGGGCAAAGGCTCAATGTGTTGACTACAAGGCAGATCTGGCCAAGCTAGACCTCTGTTGGGACTAGAGGAGCAAGACGAAGGATTTTTCCCAGAAGCCCCCACCCAGGGAGCAGGAAGTGAGGGCAGGAATGGGGAGGAAGCTAGGAAGGAGAGTGTGACTGGAGGAGGTGGAAAGGAGACAGGCAGGGAGAGGCAACCTTCAGAGAGACAGTGGCCCAGCTTCTTTCTGGAATTTGTGGCACTGTCTGTTCTAGCTCTGGGTAACCTGCAAGGCTCCAGGGTTCTCTAGAGCAGCCTTTGTGTTGTCCTCAGTGCAGGACCTTGTAGAACATACGCTGTGGAGCCAGAGTCCCGGGCGGCAGATGGGAAAGCATCTGGAGCTAGGACACTGTGCATCACAGGGGCCTGCAAATCTTGAGGCCAGAAGACCCTGGTGGACTTCCTGTGCACATGTCCCAGGGGTGTGCCACTGTGAGTATCCTGAGCAGGTGACGTCCCCCTTGTGCTGGGAAGTGTGCGTGAATAAGGAGAGGCATGTGACAGTGACAGAGAGGAGGAAATTATGGTGGGCAGCCCTGAGCAGAAAGAAATCTAATGCCACCCAGGTTCTGTGCACACACCCATCAGAGGAAATACCAGCCTACATGCCCCTCCTCTCTGCCACGGCTCCAGACCCTCCCGGGTAAGCCACTGCGACTCTGGCAGACTTCTCGATGTATACATGTCTCACTGTGTGAGACACCTGCTCGGGGCCCTGGGGACCCAGAGCAGCACTGGTTTGTGTCTGCTCCCATCAGGCAAAGCGTCCGTGAAGGCAAGAACCAGTGTTCTTGATTAAGAGGGTTACCTGCAAAGGAAGAGTGAGCACCGCAGCTCCACACACCTGTGAGAGGTAACTAGGTAGAATAACAGCTCTGTACTGATCACACCCGCGCACTGCGACCTCCACAGGCACAGGAGAAATATTCGAGGGATGACAAAATGTAAGCACATTTGTCATCACAATGGGCCATTGCATCAAGCCTCTTTCAGCAACTAATAGAATCAGAAAGTAGAAGAAGAAAAGGGCAGCAGGATGGAAGTTAACTTTTCCTACCTTGATAACTATGCAACTGCATGACCAGCATCTATAGGCTCAGAGCTGTGAGCAAAACAAAGGCATGGAGAAAGCAACAAAGAGTGCAAGTGTCCACTCACGAAGCTTGCAAGGGCAGTTGAGATGAGGCCCCAAGAAAGCAAAGAGATGGGTTCCAGGAGGCAGAGAGGCTGGCGAGAAGCAGGCAAGGGAAGGCATGACTGTCCACCTGCCTCCCCCAATGAAGCAACAGCACTGCGCAGACGCTGTGTGGCTAACAACTAAGTTAGAACTAGAGCACCACTGACAAAAATAGCATGCAAATTTGGAGGGAATAAAGATACTTATTAAAATTTAACTTTGTCAAATTAAATATGCATGGTAGAATTTCTGGAATGAATACTGAAAGAATAAAAATAGAGTTTGGCAAGTTTCTAAAAATCAATATATAAAAGTTATTTGCATTCCTATAATGCATGCAATAAGTGTAGGGTATAATTTTTTAAAATGTATAATATTTACAATAGAATCCAAAAAGATGAGGTCCCCAAAGTAAACTAACAAAAGTGTGTCATTTCCTTCTGGATAAATAGTAAAAAATTTACTGAGACATCTAAAAGACTCTTACCAATAGAGAAATAAACGTTATTTTAAGTCTTCCAATTCTTCCCACGTTTAGGCAGAATTTTAATGTAATCAAGATAATCAAAAAGTTTCTTAGTGGACATTGATAAGCTGATTTTAAAATACATGATGGAAATGGAAATGGAAAGGTCACAAATGCCTGAACAGGGAAGACTTTCTCTGTGGGAAAAGAAAACTCCTTTCCACAAATGGAACTGGAACTCTCCAATCACAGCATGAAATACACAAAACTGGAGCCAACCTCATGTAGGATGTATCCTATATAGAGCATATAGCAAAAACTGAAGCACTAAGCTCTAGGAGAAAGAATATTTAAAAATCTTCCCAGCCCTGGCTAGCCAAAAAACAAACAAAACAAAAACAAGAAAACAGGGATGTATGAAATTTTAAAAGAACAGTGGGCATGTTCGTGACTATCAATTCCACATTTAAAATGTTGCCCTTCAGAGAAACATCACTATGAGATAGAAAGTCAGCTCAGAAGCTGAGAACACAGGACACGTGGTCTATCATATGTAAAGAAGATTAAGTTGTATTGTTCTACAGCACAGGAAGGGGTCTACAATCAACAATTAGTTACTATTCTAAACACCTAGAAGAAAAGGTTCTGAACGTTTATAGTGGATATAATAACCTGACTTGATGGATATATATCACACGTGTACCAACGCATCACACTTTTCCCTGTAAGTATGTGCAATTATTATGTGGCAAACAAATTTTGATGTGTTTATGATAAGCAACTCAACAATTGGGTAAAATAACCAAAATTTGTTTTCTTGATGATGAATTATAATGGCCAGTTATGTTTTGAAAACTTTGTCTACCATTCTTACA